GGCGAGGGCGTGGCGGTGGATGCTTCCAAGCAGCACCATCGACTCTGCAGTGCAAGGTACAGCGGCAATGAAGGGTTAGAACATGAGAGGAGACTGGGGAAAGACATCAACACGCAGTTACACAGCAGATACACAGACACAGACACAGACACACACATACACACACATACACAGCAGATACACAGATACATACACAGCAGATACACAGACACACAGACACACACGCCCACGCGTGCTGACTTGGAGAGTCGACGAGCGGAAGGTATGTGAGGGCGGAGCGGCGGAGGGTGCGGTAGATGCGGCCGTACGTGCAGTGCAGGGACACAAACGGCGGACGCTTCATCATGAACTTGTCCACCGTCTGCACAGCGCAAGATGGCAGCGTTTGGGGGCGGTGAGGTCATGGTGTTGGTGGTTGCGTGCAACAGAAAGGGGTTACAAGTCAGTGTAGACAAGCTGACAGAGAGAGAGAGAGACAGAGAGAGACAGACAGAGAGACAGAGAGACAGACAGACGAGCACACCGGCGGTACGTACGCGCTGGAAGACGGCGTCGCGGCGGATGTCAGGGAGATAGGGGAGGCCTCTGATCTGGATGATGCTGTCGTAGATGGACGGTGACAGCGTTTGGCAGATGGCATTGGCAATCAGCACAGCCACCATCACAGGCAGGATGTGGTGGATTTGGCCTGGCAGTGTTGCATGTGGAACATGATCGTGTGTGTGTGTGGATGTGGGTGTGGGTGTGAGTGAGTGTTGTCGTCAAGCTATGGCAATATGTTGGTATCACGGCAAATAGACATACACACATCACACCACATGTACACACATATCACACCGCATGTATGCACACACACACACACACATCACACCGCATGTATGCACGCACACACACACATGCGCATAATCACACATGCACATAATCACACATCAGATCCCAGCAACCTGTGAGCTCGAAGACGATGACGGAGGTTGAGATGGTGTGCGTGACACCACCAGCGAGTGCAGCCGCGCCAACCACGGCGTAACCACCAGGAACAATGTGGTTCCCCCCGCCCCAATCGCAGAACCCGGCGGGCTGGAAATCGTCATCGCCGCCCGACGTGAGACCCGTCGGGAACCAGATGGCCATGCTCTCACCAATGAGCCGCCCAAACCCGGCGCCAATCACAAACACGGGCACAAACACGCCCGCTGGCGGTGGCGATGGTGAGGTGATGGTGATGAGGTGTGTATGCGTGCGTGTGTGTATGTGTATGTGTGTGTGTGTGTGATGGTGTGTATGTGATGGTGTGTGAGTAAGTGGGGTGAAGGAAGGGTGGGGAGCAAGTGACTGTTCGAGGTGATTCCAAGGGGAGGAATGAGCGGGTTTCCGAGCAAAACCACAGACACGCACATCCTGCACGACAAGCGAGACAAGGCACAATCCGTGCTGTTGCTGCTGCTGCTGTTGTCGCTGCTGTTGTCACTGCTGCTGCTGTCACTCACCTGGGATGGGCATTGTGATGGCGAGGATGGTGACGATAAACTTGACAATGACGAAGATGACGAGGTTGAGAATCAAACTCCCGCCCCGCCACTCCTACAACATAGAGGTCGTGGTGATGGTGCAATGATGGTGGTGTTAACGATGTGACGGAATCACAATGAACATGGCAGTTTCGTGAGAGCACGAGTCTACACGGCTACGGCTGTGATGTGTCTGTGCGTGCGTGTCCTTTCTTCCCACCACGTGCCCGCCTCCCCCAACAATCGCTTCCCACCATCACCTCGATGCACTGCAGGCGCTCCGTGGTGAAGAGGTGGTTGATCTCCGTCGCCTGCACCAGCGACAGGTGCCGTCCAATCAGACCTGCAACAACGACAAAAACACCCGTGACGTTGGCGGTGAGGAGCGTGAGGGTTGCACGGTACGAGCACGATTGCGCAGAGACAGACAGACAGAGAGAGAGACAGACAGAGACAGAGAGACAGAGAGAGAGAGAGACAGAGACAGAGAGAGATGAGCGAGCAAACACGCGCGCATACACACACAGACACAGACATACATACACACACAGAGACACACATATACGCACAAATGCAGGTGCGTACCCGGAAAGGTGAGGGTGGCGATGAAGAAGGAGATGATGAGCGGGTAGAGGTAGCGATAGCGGGCAATAACGGCCAATGCACGGCCCGCTGGTGGCAGTCCCGACGAACCGAGAGGGAGGGAGGACGGGGAGTCGGTGGCGAGGTGAGGAGGCACGTGCGCACGTACGCACACGCACATACACACACACGTGCACACACACACGTGCACACACACACGTGCACACACACACGTGCACACACACACACACATGCACATACACAGACACACAGACACACACGCACATACACAGACACACACGTGCACACACACACACGTAAGCGTACCCACAAGCAATCACACTGCTTGCATACGTTGTGAGTATATTGCATAAGTTTCGATGACTTTTCGGTGGAGGAAGACGAAAAACGACGCGAAGACACCGCAGAGGGCACCGAGAATCGTAAACGCGAGCATCTCCCCAAGATCAAATGGATACTCATCAAACTACAGTGGCGGCGGTGGCGGTCGAGTGAGTGCGCGCGAGAGAGAGAGAGAGAGAGAGAGAGAGAGAGGTGTGTGTGTGTGTGTGTGTGTTGTTGTGTGTTGTTGTGTGTGTGTGTGTGTGTGTGTGTGTGTGTGTGTGTGTGCGTGCGTGCTTGTTTGTGCGTGTGCGTTGACTTGCGTTGCCGCTGGAGTATGATGATGTTCGGTTACAATTTAAAATGCGCCAACCAAAATGACCGTGTGCGACAGGATGGGGATAACGTGCCAAGTGGCGAGTGACGAGTACAGCAAAGCAAAGGAGGGCAGCCATGGCGAGTTGTGGCTGTCAATGGTGTTGATGTTGGTGTTGAAGCGTGACACGCAGGAAATGACAGGAACAAACCAGAGCCACTCATTGACGCAGGAAGCGAACACACGAGCAAGACAGGCACGGAAGCGAAAGCAAAGCGAAGGAAAAGAAAGCAAAGCAAGAGGAAGCGAAGCGAGTGAAATGCCAACACACACACACACACACACATACACACACACAACACGAGCTAGAGGGTGTCGGCTTGTCCTCTGCTTGCGCGCGCAAAGGGCGATGTGTAGCACTGGAGGCAGTGGCGAACAGGTTTTGTGATGCCAAACTTGGGGATGGGCTTGGTGTTGTTCTGCGGTGCACACGTGGAGCACACGAGGCGCCCGCAGTGGCGACAGTGGTGTCTGTGAAGGCGGCGGTGATGGGGGTTTGTTGGGGGGTTGGGGTGGGGGGGGGGGCGTGGGATTAGCGTGCATGCGAGATCGACGGATGTGCTGCTGCACGGGATAATGCTGCTTTGAGTATGAGCGCATGCATTCACAACATTCTCACAAACAGAAAGACAGAGACACAGAAAGACAGAGGGATAGAGAGACATCCAGACACACACACAGACATACACAGACACACACACAGACAGAGACATGTAGATAGACACAGAGACACAGAGACACACAGACAAACTCACACACCTTCGTCGAACAATGGTGAACTTCTGATGACACTGCTGGCAAGCGGGCGAGGTTGAGTCTGGAATCCACGAGGGCGCATCCTGGTGAGTGATAAAATGTTGTTCTGCATGGCGTGCAATGTGGTGGTGGTGGCATTGAAGCGTGAGCACAGGCAGGCAGGATAACCAGCAGACAGGCATAACACCAGCAGCGGATGAGCGGGAGCTCCAGTATCCACCTCCCCCGAACACACACACACACACATACACACACACACACTCACAGTCACTCACACACACACACACACACACACACACACACACACACACACACACACGAACTCACGTGATTTGCTGTAGTTTTGCTTCATCTGTGCAAGTTGCTTCTTGTCGCGTTCTGTCAGCTCTTCCGCTTGCTCGCCACTCACGCTCGCTTTCAAGGTCTGCGTTGTTCCGCATGAGAAAGAGGCACAAGAGCACGTGGGGCAGTGGCCGAGTGGACTTGCGTCAGATGGCGTGATTCAAAACGTGTGTAGCAAGTACACACTGGCATCAGACCATCATGGGAGCACAACGCACTTGCACACTGGCTCAGCAACAGCAAGATAAGGAGGAGGGTGGAGGAGGAGGAGGAGGCGGAGGAGGTACGCGTGCGTGATCAATGCATGTCAACACGTACCCTGCGATACATCTCGGCTTCTTCGCTGAAGTAGTCTCGGTCTACGGTAACAGGGAAACAAATGAGCATGGGCAGTGAAGGAAGTGCGGCACAGACAGAAGAGACACAGACCATACGAACACCAATACGAACAATGCGAACACTCACACACGCATACACACTCACACAAGCATACATACACACGCAAGCACACCCATACACTCAAGCACACACACACACACTCACACAAGCACACACACATGCAAGCACATCCATACACACATACTCTCTGTCTCTTGCACACACAAGCACGTGCACGTGTTGACGATACCAGGACAGGTTTCAAGAAAGGATGCATTGCCACCAGCTTTCATCATGGCAATTTGTTGTGAAGACCACTGATCGAGTGTGACTACACACACGTTTGCATGCAACACACGTACGCAATTGTACCAATGAGCGCCAGGGTGAAACGCGGTGTGTGGTCTGTGTTGTGAACAAGATGTCATGTGTGCTAATGCCGTGATGCGACACCCTCGTTGAGCTCAAGCAAAACCCCAGCTTTTTGCCTCCTGCTGCATGGGCTTCTTCATGTCCGTCATCACGTCACACACCTGATCGAACAAAACTGATGTTGACGCCGAGACCGCGGTGCACGCCAGAGCACTTGAGGCACAGCAATCTAGGAGTGGTGTGAAAACAAAACAAAAACAAAACAGCGGCGCATGGCAAGCCGTGAGCGCACAGCACACCCAAAACAACGATAACACAGCACCTGTGGGCAGCACCTCTTTGAATCCGCACGTGTGCACGACAGACAAACCAAAACGGCACACCTGCCATCACGACTTCCAAATGCCCACATGGATCGGCACAAACACAAGCACAGAACGAGCAGGCCAGCACGCAAGCGTGGGTAAGCACGGTACGGCATCGCAGCTTACAGGCCGAGAGAGACGCTGGCCCATGTTGGATCACTGTCACCGCAGTGTGCACACGCATCGTTGCCCGGCAGTTGGCGCAGCTCCTGGCATTGGCGTCACAGTGGATGCATACATCAGCGATCGCCATGATGGCGTGGGTGCATCAAGCAAACCAAAAAGCAACCGAAGCAGCCGAAACAACCGAAGCACTTCCACAGACACAAAAACACACACACACACACACACACGCACACATACACGCACACACACACACACAAAGACACGCTCGCACGCCCAGACACATACACACACATACACACACACGCACACACAGACACACACACACATACACACACACGCACACACATACACACACGCACACACACGCACACACACACACATACACACACACACACACACACACACACACACACACACACACACACACACACACACACACAGACACACATACAC